GCCCTGAGAATTTCCCTTCCTAAACACTGCCTAGGTGAGCAGTTTTCAAAGGGAGATGAGATTTGGTTTATCCAAGAGAGAAAAAGAACTGGGGCCAGTTGGGAAGAACTGTAGTGAGGAAAAAGTGGCGGGAATGGCAGTTAGAATATGAAATGAAATTAGGAGTCATGAATAAAAAATATTTACAAGGGTCCATTCTAAAGCAGGTTGGGGGATGGGTAGGATCTTGGTTAGAAATAGGTTCGAATGGTTTGACGAAGAGAGAAGTACTCTGTGGCTGTACTATTTTAAAGAAACAGATGGCAAGCTTCAGACATTTCAAATGAAAACTCTCCCATGCTTTCCTTTCCTTTAGCTCATGGGATCAACGGGTTGTTGTTATTCGATTTATTGCAAGCACATTTTTTCCAGGCGTCCAGTTAATATACTAAATCCACTGATGTTGTGGCTTTTAAAAAAGGTGGCTATTCCTGTTCTCAATTAAGATCTAGTTTTTTTGGAGTCATGGTTATACTTTTTGGTTTTTATTTTAGTTATTTTTTAGTTGAAAGATAACAAACTCTGTCTTTAAAAATTATCTCTAAATTTCCCATTGCAATCAAGTTTCTAGATAAGTTGATATGATTGTTTGCAGTTGTCTTCCTAGGAATTCCTTGCTTCTTCCTATTCTATATTTACTCAAACTTATGGGATAGATTGAAAGCAGGAGAAGAAGGGGACCCAGAGGATGAGATAGTTGGATGGCATCACGGTTTCAATGGACATGAGTTTGAGCCAACTCTGGGAGACAGTAAAGGATAGAGATGCCTTGCATGCTGCACCCAGGGGGTCGCAAAGAATCAGACATGACTAGCGACTGAATAACAACAATGGCGACTAAACCACCACCTTGGCTATTAATTGGTCTTCCCAGGTGGCATTAGTGCTAAAGAACCCTCCTGCCAATGCAGGTGACAAGACACTTGGGTTCCATCCCTGGAGGAGGGCATGACAATCCACTCCGGTATTCTTGCCTGGAGAATCCCAGGGACAGAAGAGCCTGGCGGGCTGCATAAGTCTGTGGGGTCGCAAAGAAAGAATTGGACACAACTGAAGTGGCCTAACACTCACGGCTCACCCTTTACTTCCGTGTGATGGGGGCCCCCACACTGTCCTCCTCTGCTGCAAAGCCAGGACAGGGTGAGGGCTGGGGGGGAGGTGATATATTTATATAGTTATGGCTAGTTTGCACTGTTGTATGGCAGAAACCAACACAGCATTGTAAAGCAGTTTTCCTCCGATTAAGGAGATAAATAATATGAAAGAGAATGTATAACTGAATCACTCTGCTGTACAGTAGAAATTAACACAAAACTGTAAATCAACCATCTTCCCATGTGGCGCTAGTGGTAACAAACTCCGGCCAATGCAGGAGACGCAGAAAAGAGGGTTCAATCCCTGGGTCGGGAAGATTCCTTGGAGAAGGGCATGGCAACCCACTCCAGTATTCTTGCCTGGAGAATCCCATGGACAGAGGAGCCTGGTGAGCTATGGTCCATAGGGTCAGAAAGAGTCGGACATGACTGAGGCTACTTAGCACTCTCACACAAATGTAACATCTTGTGGTTCTGAAGGCTAAATCAACTATGCTTCAATATAATAAATTTTAAAAAATAATATATAGATTCCATATCTTAATGCTGTAAAGACCCAGTGCATCTGGAATTATAGACCAAAACATTTGTTTTGCGAGTGAGAAAACTGAGGTCCAGAAAAGGAGTTACCTGCAAAAAATTCCTTGAAAATGCCTCACAATAGCAATTTATAAACGAACCTTGAAAGAGTGCATTCTTTGATTTAAAGCTTTAGAAAACTGGTAACTAAAAAAAAAAAGAAAACTGGTAACTAGTAATTATTTAGTGCCTGTCATGTGCAAGACAGTATGATAAAAGAAGCTGAATATGGCAGAGAAGCTACAGTCTGGTTCGGAAAACAAGATGGAGACACATGAGAAAGTAAGTAATGAAATTATGTAATAAAATCACTTATTTCTGGAATACCTTCTTGTATTAGGCAGTAGTGTCCTGGTTCACTATGCATTTAGCTTATCAAATCAAGAGGCAGTTCCCTCATAGCTCAATTGGTAAAGAATCCACCTGCAATTCAGGAGATCCTGGTTCGATTCCTGGGTCAGGAAGATCTGCTGGAGAAGGGATAGACTACCCGCTCCAGTATTCTTGGGCTTCCCTTGTGGCTCAGCTGGTAAAGAATCTGCCTGCAATGCGGCAGACCTGGGTTCGATCCCTGGGTTGGGAAGATCCCCTGGAGAAGGGAAAGGCTACCCTCTCCAGTATTCTGGCCTGGAGAATTCCATGGACTGTATTGTATTAGTCCCTGGGGTTGCAAAGAGTCAGACACGACTGAATGACTCACTTTCAACCTGATGAGGTAAAGATTATCTTCCTTTCCCGGAGGATAATACCAAAGATCAGAGAAGTTAGGTGATCTGTCCCAGGTTTCACAGCTGGTAAGTAACAGAGTCAGGATTGGCAGCTAGGTGTGCATGTCTGATTCCACTACACAATGGAAGAGTATACATGTCTGACTGCCAACTGAGAAGGGAAGAATATCTTGATTTCAGCAGAAGGAGAGATCTCTGAGACCTAGACTGTAGCAAAGTGGGACCTCGGGACTCTGAGAATTTGATAGGCAGGACTAAAGAGGTTAGGCTCTCAAGGAAATGGGAAGGGTGGGAAAACACATGATGTTTCCAGTTAGAGTGAAATCGACAAGGATTCAAGGGCAAATAGTTTACTTGAGAGGAGATTCCAGAAAACACCACTGAGATAATGAGGAAGTGAGTTAGGGAAGGAGAAGCCTGTGAGGCTCGCCCGGAGGAGCTACCACTGTGGGAAGCTGGAGCTCAGACCCTCCAGGCCACTGTGGGAAGTGGTAGAGGACCTGCCTCCCTGTTTCCCCTCCTGAGGGGTGAGGAAGCTGAACTTTGTTATTAGCTGAGATTTCCCGGGAGCATTCTTCGTCTTGGCGACACAGGACCGCCCTCCTAGAGCTACCATGGCCATCACCACCCTGAGCCCCGAGAGCCCCGAGCTGGCCCTCCCTGGGATGCTGGTGCATCTTTGATTCCAGCGGGTCTTTCTCTTGTCTCATCTGGCTCAGTGAGTCTACTGACAACATGGGTTGTGTTACTCACAAAATTAGAGCTTTGTTACTTTCATCTGAGCAGCTCAGATGAGTGTGTTAGTTGCTCAGTCGTGTCCGGCTCTTGGCAACCCCATGGACTGTAGCCCGGCTGGCTCCTCTATTCATGGAATTTTCCAGGCCAGCATACTAGAGTGGGTGGCCAGTCTTTCTCAAAGCAGTCCACAAACCCACGTCAGTCATTCTTAGAATCCCTCCAGGCAGTCAGGAGAAGGTGTGGTCTCCACAGTGAAGAAGGAGGACATTGGGATCCCCCAGCAATGATGTGTATACCTTTGGAGGACAGGGGAGTGTGCACCTGGGTGGTGAAAGTGCCCAAGTCAAAAGGATCAGGTCCTTGAAGAACTGAGAATGCCAGAGAGGATTTCTTCCGAAAGATCAGGGGTGGCAGGAAATAACTGGTGGCTCAGATGGTAAAGAATGGCTGCAGTGCAGGAGACCTGGGTTCAAGAAGATCTCTCCCCTGAGTCAGGAAGACCCCCTGGAGAAGGGACTAGCAACCCACTCCAGTATTCTTGCCTGGAGAATCCCATAGACAGAGGAGCCTGGCAGGCTACAGTCCATGAAGTCACAGAGTCAGACATGACTGATATTTAACTTAGGAAGTGATTGCTGAAGCTGCTATACCAAACAGAATTCCTCAGAAAATCAATCAGGCAACCTAATTCCTTCCAAGCCAGAGAGTTTGCTCGGATTTTTACATGTGCTCCGCACATCTGGGAACATCTTGTGTCAAAACATGTAAGATGTTTAAAGTAATAAACTCAGTACTGCAAGAGAAAATTGGGTGAGGCAGAAAAAATTTAATCCAAAATGTTCTTATAATTTCCCCAGTGACGTTTTCTTGGCTCTTCTAATGCTAAAAAATTACTTTTTAGGATTTTAATAAAAGCAATAAACATGCATTGAAAAACTGTGTTATAAAACATTATCTTACACATAAATATGAAAAATGTAAAAGTTGCTCAAATTCCCATCACCTTAAGATAACAGTCATTAACGCTTTGTTGACCATCCTTATGAAATTCATTTTATGCACACACATACATATATCTACCATTTAACAAAAATGGAATCAAGTCACGCAGTCTATTCATCCTTGATGCTTTTTTGAAGTGTGGTATTTTTCCCTTTCATGCTCAATCCCTACTCTTTCCCAAGTAACCAAGGTTAGCAACTTAGTATATATCTTTCTCGAGGCTCATAATTATAGGCAAACATATGGGTTTCCCAGGTGGCTCTAGTAGTGAAGAACCTGCCTCCCAATGCAGGTAGGCGTTAAGAGATGCGTGTTCGATCCCTGGGTCAGGAAGATCTCCTGGAGGAGGGCATGGCAACCCACTCCAGTAATCTTGCCTGGAGAATCCCATGGACAGAGGAGCCTGGCGGGCTGCAGCCCATAGAGTCACACAGAGTCGGACATGACTGAAGCAATTTAGCATGCACGCATGCATACACACATATATGCAGTCCATAATCCAATTTCATCAAATAGCTGAATGGTGTTCTTTATAGTTGATCTTTCCTAGTTCGAAATCCAGCCCAGGTTCAAACCTAGCAGTTACTCCTTCAATATGAAACAGTTCCACCTCCTTTCTTTTAGTTTCTTGATCTTGACATTTTGTGATTCCCTTGTAGCTCATTTGGTAAAGAATTTGCCTGCCATGTAGGTAGACCTGGGTTCAATTCCTGGGTCAGGAAGCTCCCCTGGAGAAGGAAATGGCAACCTACTCTAGTATTCTTGCCTGGAAGATCTCATGGACATAGGAGCCTTATGGAGTCTATAGGGTCGCAAAGAGTCAGACATGACTTAGAGACTAAACCACAACCAGACCACTAATTCTGTATGACGTCAGTCCATTTGAGGTTTGTCTGGCGTTTCTTTACAGTGTAATCCACGACAGGGCTCTCGTCAGATTTCAGCCATGGGCATGAGGGTGATGTGGCAGAAACTGTAAGATACCTGTCTGGGTGACACCTGCTGCTGCTTCTGGGCCTGCAGTTCCTCGCAGAATTTCAAAGAAGCATGTTCATACTTCTTTCAGCTGCAGGTGCAGGATAAAGCCAGATTGTGCCTCCAGCTCAAGGCTAAACTGACACCCCAAAATACAGGCACTTATTAATTGAGGAGCAAAAATGTATGGGCTCAGTTTTAAAGAAGCAAAAAACTATGAAGTACAAAGGTTCCAAAACGATTTTGTTGATTACTTATAAAATATGCGACAGAACAGTAACCAGTAAAATAATGAGGGAAAAAGAACATTCCTCAGGGCAATTGATAAGCAATTTTACCACGCCTCAGATTTAACCCTTTTGCAGGAAGATGCAGATGACTAAAGCTCTTGAGTTTTACAGCTCTGGTACAATGGTGACAGCCCAGCCTGGTTTTCAAAACACCTACATCTGGACAGTTGATACCCATTTGCTCCTCAAAGGATGTGAGCAGAACAAAGAAACACTCTTAACTAGAAATGCTACTTAGAAAGAATTTCAAAAGAATCCGAAGTGGATTTCAAAAATATCTTGTCTCCTCTGTAAAGAATGGCTTTCGAGAAATGTCTAATGCTGTTTCTGAACTAAAGCTAGTCAGTAAAACGGTTTGTTTGACTTCTATTTATTTTCTGAATACATGGAAACCATGTCCAAGAACAAACTTTTCTTGGCATCCTTGGCATTTGTGGGAAATAAAAACCTCATAGGAATGAATAACTGAAGTCAGCCCACCAACAAAAAAATATGTGAAAGTGCTCATCAACAGTAAGTTCACAAGCAGGTATTGTATGCTTATTATTTTTCCTTCTCTCATTAGTTTTCACTATTTCTATCATTTTCTTTCAAAAGGAAGTGGAGACCCATACACACATGTCCACTCACTTGGAAGGATTTCTTGGAGGGGGTCAATAACCTGATTGCTAATTCAGAAAAACGGTGGGTCCTTATTCTTCTACAGACATGTGCATAACTGTACAATGAAGTCTGCAGATTATCTCTGCTTTGGGTATAAAATATCCAGGATATTCTTACTTATAGCTGATCTAATATTTTTTCAGAAAGTTTTCATTTTTATAACTTTCTATTGTTCCTATAGTTATATTTCACCTTCAGAGACAGTTTAATTTATTCTAGTACAGACTTATTTCTGGGTTTAAAATTATTTCATACTGTTAACTTTATCTTACATCCTTTCTGGAATGACATAGGTACAAGGTTTTTGTGTTTGTGTGTGTGTGTTTTAATAAGCTAGGATTGTTTTTCACCTTTCATTTTCTCACCAGCATTGCTACTGTTTCACTGAAACGTTGTTGCTGTTAATAGTAAAAAGAATTAAAACTTAGAACAACTGTATGTCTACTAGTAGAAAGTCAAAGTGTTAGTTGCTCAGTCCTGTCTGACTCCTTGCAACCCCATGAACTGTAGCCCCCCAGATGCCTCTGTCCATGGAATTTACCAAGCAAGAAGACTGGAACGGGTTGCCATTTCCTCCTTCGGGGAATGTTCCCAATGCAGCAATCGAACCCACGTCTCCTGCTTTGTATGTGGATTCTTTACCACTGAGCCACCTAGGAAACCTGTATGATTGATAAGAGGGAGTTTTTATATCTTTAATATATTATTATCTAAACTTCTTGTATTCCTGCAGTATTAATACTTTTTGGAAGCACAGAGATTACCTTTGTATTTCCATACCCCAATTTGTTTTGCAATGAATGAAAGAATTTCCAAACAATATATCTTATCAGTTAAAAATCTATCTTCCAGAAACCACCAAACGTAAGGGACTTTCTCTTTTGACATTTCCTATTCTGTTATTAGTGAGTCTCTTTCTGGCTTTGTCCTCTACTGATGAGGGACATCCAGATACTCAGATACAGAGCAACGCTTTATTAGCAAGGTTGATTGTTGACATTTAGGCAAAATATGGGCGTTTTATAAAAGGAATACCTGGAACAGAAGAAAGACATGTTTAGTTTAGTAGAAAAATGAAAATAGGTTAAAGTGCTAAGTTGAACGTGAATATTGTCAAGCCCCCATGATGACTCTGTCCACGTGTAAATCCATCACCATAAGAAAAGCTTACTATGATCTCAACCAGCTTTTGTCTGGTAAACATTTATTATCCTTCCTGGCAAAAGGGAAAGTAGGTAACAAAAGTTCCATTTTGTTAAGCTTTGGTATCTCGCAGATGTTCAGTGAGCTTATAGCAAAGCTTTGAAAAATCTCTTATAGGTTTAAAAAAAAAGGACTATAGAAGAGGAGAATGGAGAAGAAAAAGGAGACACGAGGAGTCTAACTGATATGAAAAATTTAAGGTCTGAACTTTAAAAGCTTTGGGCACCCAAGATAAATTTGAGTAATGTTGATGAACTACGTCTTATCCATCAGAGTGCCAGGCATGTGCTGCAGACTATGGTAGTGCAGAGACAGGTGAGAACCAGTCTCTGACATTAAATGTAGCATCGAGAAGGTGACTAAGGACATTTCCAACAATGACAGTGCTCACAATAGCGCAAGGGACCACAGATGAATACTGTGACTAACATGGGATCTGCCATTCAGTCTGGACCTTTGCTCATCCTGAATCAAAGGCAAGGAAAGAAAATTCCAGAATCAAGGAAGAAAGGCAACTCTCATGACACTACACATGCTGCCACCGCAAACCCACCTTCTCCTCAGTGACCTCGGGTGCCCTTAAAGTAACGCGATGAAGATGACAGGAAGGCACAGTCACACCATTTGCAGAAAGAGCTCAGTCACAGGGAGACACTGAAGTTGGGGCGGGGGGACCCAGAATCCAGGACTCTTTCCTTCCTGGTTGGGAGAAAAGGACTGGTTCTGAGATTAAACCAGCATTTCCTGTTGGTGAAGAGGTATCGGGTGGGAGACACTGGTCATAGGACAAACTTTCAATTAAAGATGTAAATTCTGGAGCTCTCTTGCATAGCACTACGACTATACTATAAGTTAACAATACTGTATTAATACTTGAAATTTACTCAGAGATCATTATCAACCCCAAAATGGCAAGTATATGTAGTCATGGATGGTTTAATTAGGTTGGTTTTGGTAATCATCTCACAGTGTATACATTTATCAAATCATGACATTATTCACTTTAAATATATGCAACTTTATTTACCAATAAAATAAAGTAAAAAAGTGGAAGCAGTGACATATTTCACTTTCTTGTGCTCCAAAATCACTGCAGACAGTGACTGCAGCCACAGAATTCCAAGACACTTGCTCCTTGGAAGGAAAGCTATTAATATGAAAAAACTAGACAGTGTATTAAAAAGCAGGGGCATTACTTTGCTGACAAAGGAGCATATATTCAAAGCCTTGGTTTTTCCAGTAGTCATGTACAGATGTGAGAGTTGGACCATAAAGAAGACTGAGCGCCAGAGAATTGATGCTTTTGAACTGTGGTGTTGGAGAAGACTCTTGAGAGTCCCTTGGACTGCAAGGAGACCCAAACAGTCCCTCCTAAAGGAAACCAACCCTGAATATTCATTGGAAGGACTGATGCTGAAGCTGAAGCTCCAGTACTTTGGCCACCTGATGTGAAGAGCCAACTCATTGGAAAAGACTGTGATGCTGGGAAAGATTGAAGGCAAGAGAAGTGGGCAGCAGAGGATGAGATGGTTAGATAGATTCACCAGCTCAACCAAAGGACACAAATTTGAGCAAACTTTTGGAGACAGTGGTGGGCAAAGGAGCCTGGCATGCTGTAGTCCATGGGGTTGCAAAGAGTCAACATGCTTAGCGACTGAACAACAATGACGAAAAAGAGACAACTCTCATGGCATTGTTTAAATACTTGGGGGAAAAAATGGTATGAATGAAGAATTATTTTTTAAAAACTGTTAAGTGCTGTGGTCTGAAGTGTGTCCCCTCCCACCCAAATTCATTGTTGAAATCCTAACCTGCAGTTCCTTAGAACATGGCTGTATTTGGAGATGCAGACTTTAAAGATGCTGGGCCCTAATCCTTCTTCATAAACACACACACAGGAGGATCACAGGATGGCACAAAGAGAAGAGGCTCATCTGCAAGCCAAGGAGAAAGACCTCAGAAGAAACCAACCCTGCTGACACCTTGACCTCAGGCTTCTAGCTTCCAGATTTGTGGGGAAGTAAATGTCTATTGTTTAAGTCCCCTGGTCTGTGATACTTTGTCATGTCCGCCCAACCAAACAACTGATACAATATAGTACACTTAAAATGATGGCGAAAATCCTGTGTTGACCAATGATATCAAACCACAGTATCTAGTTTAATAAAGCAGGCTATGGAACACATGAATAGAGTGATCCAATTCTGATAAAAATCATGCAACTCTAATGCTTAAATATAGATTGACAGGTGACAAATGTTGTCTCTCAAGTTTTGTGTGATTTTTTTTTTTTTACTTTTTCCATTAGGCTTTTCTGCACTGGTTCATTATTTTAATAAGCATGTGACTGATGGATTCATGTGGGAATAAATATATAGAGCAAGGAGAGAATGTAGCACAGGGCAGAACCTTGGGGAATGCTGATATTTAAGGGACAGAAGATGAGAGCGAGCAAGGCAACAAAGGAGGCTTGTCCGGAGAGGAAAAAATCTTGGAGGATAATTCTGAAGAAGCCAATGAAGGGCAGACTTCTAGAAGGAACAGGGCGCTACCCAGTATGAAATGCCGCAGAGAAAGGCTGCCCAGTCTAGCAGTAGGATGTTGCATGTGGAAATTAGGAAGTCACTCTGGCTTCTGAGAATGCTTTGAAGAAGGGATGGGGCCAGTTTGTGGAAAGAATGGGCAGTGACGAAGGAACACAGCCAAGTCATGAAGAGGTATAAAAATTACAGGTCTTCAGGTACTGCAGCAGACTGTCATCATCATCATACTAGGAGTAGCCTGAATCCAAACCTGGGGATGTTGAGATGCCTGTTACCCTAGAAACCCAGAGAAGAGTACCTTAGCAACATATACCAAGCCGCTCTATCTTGCACGGCACCTGAGATATTTATGGACCCATTCTCATGTGTGATGTGTCAATTAGCCTGTACTCTCTGATGAATGGGAAAGATGTTTCTATAAACTAAAGGCCTTGACAATGAGATCCCTTTGTAGTCTCTCTAGAATGGCACAGGGGCTGACAGCAAGCAGCAAGGTCTGTTATTAGAAAGGCTCCATGATGTCACAAGAAAGTTGTTTATAAGCTTAAGTGATTACCAGGGGACATGCTGTCTTGTCTAGTTTCCCTAACCCTTAGCCAGGTTCCCTTGGGACGAAGATACAGTATAAACTCAATAGACCAGGGCTTCCCTGATGGCTCAATGGTGAAGAATCCACCTGCCGATGCAGGAGATACAGGTTTGGTCCGTGTTCTGGGAAGATCCTACATGCCGTGGAGCCACTAAGCCCTTGTACCACAACTATTGCGCCTGAGCTTGGACCCACAAACCGCAACTACTGAAGTCCTCGAGCCCTAGAGCCCATTCTCTGCAACAAGAGAAGCCGCTGTAGTGAGGAGCCCGCACACCACAAGTAGGATGGGCCTCTGCTCGCTGCAACTAGAGAAAAATCCTCACGGCGGTGAAGGCCCAGCCCAGCCAAAAGTAAATAAATACAGAAATAAAAGTGTTTTTAAAAGTCAAGCTTATTAATTAAAAAAAAAAAAAAAGCTAAATAGACAGAGAAGGAGAGAGATAGAGGGAGAGGGTATGTACTGAGAAAGTGTGCCAGGCACGGCTCTTTCTCCTTTCATTTTAGCCAGGTGGCCCTGGAATGGCATATCATCGATGCATGGCAATCATATATGTATGATTACATGTATAGCATAATACATATAAAACAATACATGTATCTGAGAATCATGCACCAAGAAGCATATTACACACATTACTTAATTTTTTATTTAATTTTTATGCAATCCCCAAATTCCAGTTAGATGAGTACTTAATATCCCTTCTTATTAGGGATAACTAATATCAGAGAGGGCTTCCCCTGTGACTCAGCTGGTAAAGAATCCATCTGCAATGCAAGAGACGTGGGTTCAATCCCTGGATTGGGAAGATCCCCTGGAGAAGGGAAAGGTCACCCACTCCAGTATTCTGGCCTGGAGAATTCCATGGACTGTACAGTCCATGGGGTTGCAAAGAGTCGGACACGACTGAGCGACTTTCACTTCTGGAGGAGGGAATGGCAGCCCGCTCCAGTACTCTTGCCTGAAGAATTCCACGGACAGAGAACATGCCAGGTGACTCAGAGGTTAAAGCGTCTGCCTGCAATGCAGGAGACCTGGGTTGGGAAGATCCCCTGGATAAGGAAATGGCAACCCACTCAAGTATTCTTGCCTGGAGAATCCCATGGACGGAGGAGCCTGGTGGGCTACAATCCACGGTATTGCAAAGAGTCGGACAAGACTGAGCGACTTCACTTTCACTTTCACTTTCAATATCAGAGGAAACTGAGATGAATAAAAACTATGTTATTTGCTTGAGATTACAGATTACTTGATTTAAGGTCATTTCTGGATCTACAAAGAGCACTTTTTTTAAAATTTAATTTTATTTTATTTGGCTGTACCACATCCTAGTTGCAACATGCAGGATATTTCTTCAGTTGCATGCTAACTCTTAGTTGCAGCATGTGCGCACTAGTTCCCCTATCAGGAATTGAACTCGAGCTCCATGCACTGGGAGCAGAGTCTTAGCCAGTGGACTATCAAGGAAGTCCCAAAGAGTTATCGTTACCATCTTTCTAAATTCCATATATATGTGTTAGTATACTGTAATGGTCTTTATCTTTCTGGCTTACTTCGCTCTGTATAATGGGCTCCAGNTAAGATACTAAAGTGACTGCAACTTTAACTGTCCCTAAGAGTGGGGTAGACCACCACCCACTTACAATCCTCATTTCCAGCATCCCCAGAATGCATTACATGAATCTCTGATCACCATCCAATTTGTGGTTCCAGGTAATGTAATCTAAAGAATACAGCAAGGATGCTGTAAAACCATAGCTTAATTAACCATAGCTTAATCTTCAAACATTTCCTCTGTTTTTCTGTGTTATTTTAAAATCTGGATGCCAAAGTGTCATTTCTCCTCAGTTTAAAAATAATGCTATTTTTATTATTGTTTCCTATGGAAACCGTTTCCCTCAACACAGCAACAGCCATATCTTAATAGAGAATTATTTATTTAAGCCAGTTGCCCTTGTTAAATTTGGGTGACATGAACCCATATTTTATCCCCATAGATTTTGCAAGGACCACCCCTACCCACTCTTGGAGGATCATCTAACTCTCCAGAGTCACTCTCCCAGCCATGGAAGCCAGTCTGTTCCCTGGAGATCAGTTTGGGGAACTTCAGGTCCCCAGTGGCTAATGGAAAGTTACAAAAGCTGTGACCAAATTGTCAAAACTCTTGCAGCTCTGCTTGAGGCCAAATGTCAAGTAGTGAAATGAGACTCAGAAGACACAGAAGCATCTCAAGAAGGCTCACACGGGAGCGAGAGAACCCAGTGATGTTTGCACAAGGGCAACATAACTTTCCCTTTGCATAATACTTTTTTAAACATTAAGGAATGAGAAACTTACACATCTATAAATGAGTAGCTTGTAACAAACTAACTCTCCCGTGTGTGTGTGTGTGTGCGCGCGCGCATGCGCGCGCGCGCGTGCTTGCTCAGCAACTCAGTCCTATCCAACTCTTGCAACCCCATGGCCTGTAGCCCGCTAGGCTCCTCTGTGCATGGGATTTCTGAACAAGAATACTGGAGTGGGTTGCCATTTCCTTCTGCAGGGGATCTTCCCAGTCCAGAAATCGAACCCACGTCTCCTGCACTGGTGGGTGGATTCTTTACCACTGTGCCGCCTGGGAAGTCCAACTCTCATGAAAACAGCTATAGAAAACACCCCCTCCGAATAAAAACAAACTATTCAAACAACAGAATAACCAAAGCTTGCCAGAACTGAAGAGATCAAGATCTTCAGTTCAGTTCAGTCACTCAGTCGTGTCTGACTCTTCATGACCCCATGGACCACAGCATGCCAGGCTTCTCTGTCCATCACCAACTCCCAGAGCCTCCTCAAACCCATGTCCATTGAGTCAGTGATGCCATCCAACCATTGCATCCTCTGTCGTCCCCTTCTCCTGCCTTCAATCTTTCCCAGCATCAGGGTCTTTTCCAATAAGTCAGTTCTTCACATCAGGTGGCCAAAGTATTGGAATTCAGCTTCAGCATCAGTCCTTCCAATGAACACCCAGGACTGATTTCCTGTAGGATAGACTGGTTGGATCTCCTTGCAGTCCAAGGGACTCTCAAGAGTCTTCTCCAACACCACAGTTCAAAAGCATCAATTCTTCAGTGCTCAGCTTTCTTTATAGTCCAACTCTCACATCCATACATGACTACTGGAAAAACCATAGCCTTGACTAGATGGATCTTTGCTGGCAAACTAATGTCTCTGCTTTTTAATATGCTGTCTAGGTTGGTCACAACTTTCCTTCTAAGGAGTAAGCGTCATCTTGGAGAGAGAAAAAAAAAGAACACTGTGGTGAGTCGGCTAGTTGTCACTGTGCTTTTCCCCAGGGAACTTGCTGAGGGGTAGAGAATAGATAGGTAATCTAGTGCAGCAGGAGCCTCACTGGGCTGGGGAGACAAAAATCGGAAGTCAGGCCTATCAAACTGAAAGGATCTGAGGACACTGCATTCTAGAGAAGTGTTCTCCTCCTTCCTTTTGCATTTTCCCTCAGGCTTTGACCTATTCCCAAAAAAGCAGGCACAGTCCAAGAAGAAAAACCCAAGCAACCACCCAACAGACCACTTCTCAGGCTATAAGAATCGTCATGGTCTAATCGTCATCGTCTTACAAAACCTAAAACTCACCTCCAGTCAGCCCGGACCAGACCAAGGTGATGTGCTTGTCAACTTAAAGTAAATCTTCTCTGTGGGAAGGTAATCAGCATCTAGAGTCTTTATGTTGTTTATACACAATGTACATCATTCAATCCAAACTATCAGGCATGCCAGAAAATATGATGAATAAGCAAAATTCAAGAGAAAAAAGAAAAAAAGATAGAGAATCACGTGTGATCCAGACATTGAGGTTCTCAGACCCAGACTTGAAAATAACTGTGATTGAAATAGTCATGGAAACTTATTA